TCTAATTTATTAATTTATTATTAGGGATCCTTACGAACTTTGGATTCATTGATTACGGTATTTGACGGCATATAAGAAGCACGGGTGCTTTATTTTCTCGCATTTCTCAATTTCAGCAGAGCAAATCAAGAAAAAATTAGTAATAATAAAATTAGTAAAATTATTAATAAATGGTACAGTCTAGGCTATATTTATGAGATGTTATTTTGGTTAAACAAGGCATGATTACAATTAAACGATAAATAATAGGAAAAAAAGAACACGGTCCTATTTATAGGCTCTTTTTTTTTATTATATCCAAAAGTAAGAAAACAAAATAAAAATCAAGCAATTATTACAACTGAGCAAAACAGTACAGTTACCATTAAAATTGAGTCAAAAATTTTCCTTTATATGATCTGTACAGCCTGCGCCTTGTAAACGTCTTAATCTTAGGATGCTTAAATTTAGGATATAAAAATTCTGATTGTATTTATACCAATGCAACCGAAAGTTATCACAAGAAAAATATTAATGAAACAAATATATTTTACAAATATTTAATTTTAATTTATTGCATACAATTTTAGTGAAACAAAGTACTAATATTAAACGAGATGAAATTGATATAATGAATATTATCAATGATAACACTTTTAATCTGCATAATAGCCTTTTAAATAATGACAATAGGTATATGAAAGTTATTCTAAAGTCTAAGCTAATAGGAGTTGCCAGGTAGCTAATTTCAACCGACTTTCGCAAATTTTAAACCTACATGTGGCATATAAGGCGCAGGGGAATTTTAAAAGATAAAGTAAAAAAAAGTGCGTCTTATATGCCGTTAAATACAGTAATTGATTCGTCTTCTACAGGTTATCAACAATTTTCAGGTTATTTAAAGCCAGAAAATATTTTAGATGGTAAAAATCTTTTTTGAGGGATGGGGGGGGAGATAATAACTATTTAGTGATACAACTCATAACTGGTTGAGTAGGTTACGCGTTGCTTTCCTGTGTCCCTCTTTCCTTCAATATATCATGTGAGTATTATATTTTCCAAGCCCTCTTTCCTCATTATGTGCCCTAGAAATTCCAACTCTCTCTTTCTGATGTTAAATATAAGTGTCAATTTTGTTTGGATTTTCTCTATAACTTCGTCGTTGCTCACATATTCGGTTCATGGCATTCTCAGCATCCTTCTGTAAAACCACATTTCTGTTGCTTCCAGCCTCTTCTTCATTCACTGCCATACAGTAGGACTGATGTAACAGTTCAGTACTTTTTTTTTTCTTCTAACGAAATTTTCACGTTTCTTAATACTTTGCTTAACTTTTGAAAGGCATCTTTCGCTAACCCAATGCGCCTTCGGATTTCAGTCTCACACTTTCCGTTCTCTGTTAAAACACTTCCCGGATATTTATATTGTACTTGCTTGATTTTTGTATCTCTAATTTGTAATTTGCATGTTGGGCTGTTCCCTTTGTTGATAACCATGCATTCTCTCTTGCAATTGATGCTTAGTCCTTTCTTCTCGCTTTCCTTCAGTACCTTCTGTCGGGGTTCTTGTAGCTTCTTTTCTATGTCTGCTATCAACACTATGTCATCTGTATATCTTATGTTGTTAAGATTGTGACCGCCAATAATGTTTCCTGATAAGACTTCTAAATCTCTCAGAATCGCCCAACTGTATAGTTTGAATAGGTTCGATGAGAAGACACATCCTTTCTATTATTGCATATTTATTGAATTCATTTTAGGTCCGTATTCAGGCAGTTTGCTGCCAGTATAAGTTCTGGATTATTCTAATCATGGCCGATAATAAAGTCACAGACAAAAAGTCACAATTTTGGCTAGAGGAAAAAAAGTCATAATTTATAATAAATATTTCTGTCAGATTCTCCACCAGTTGATGGATCCGCTCAGTTTGCAACAGAAATTCATATGAAATTTTTGTAAATCGATCCAACCTCTAAAGAACGTTTTCTAACAACGCTACGGTCACCTATTCGATATATTTCATAGTTATGGAGTCCTAATATCCAATAAGACCTGAATATATTTGAAGAAAGCCTTAAGAAGAGTGTTGTTGTTTTTTTAAACATGGCGCCAAAACATAAACAAGCCACGGAGATCGTATACGAAGATAGATTAAGCCATGAAAATATTTTCTAACAATGCTACGGTCACCTATTCGATATATTTCATACTTAGGGAGTCCTAATATCCCATAATACTTTATTTGACAAAAGCCTTAAAAGAGTGTTTTTCTTAAACTTGGCGCCAAAACGTAAAGAAGTTACAGACATCGTATACGAAGATAGATTAAGCCGTAAAATTTTTTTTGTAATAGTCCTACTGTCACCTATTCGATATATTCCGTATTTAGGGAGTTCTAATATCCCATAAGAACTGACTTTATTTGAAGAAAGCCTTAAGAAGATTGCTCTTTCTTAAACTTGGCGCTAAAACGTAAACAAGCCACGGAGATTGTATACGAAGATAAATTAAACCGTAAGGTTTTCTAACAATGCTACGGTCACTTATTCGTTATATTTCATAGTTAGGGAGTTCTAGTAACCCATAAGACTTCGTGTGAAGAGAGTCTCAATTTAACATTAAGATTTGAATTGAAAGTTGCTTGAATTTTTTATTTATTTATGAGACTGGAATTTTGTCCATTTTTGGAATAAGACGCTGGGATTTTGTCCAAGTTCGTCAAATGTTCAAAAACTTTGACGTTAATAGCCCTTTATAATTATGGTTGCCCTTTGAACAAAAAGCTGCACTTGCAAATACATCGAGCTTTGGGAATTAGCTTCAGAAAATCGCGCGGCGAACCGGAAGGAGACGAAAATTGATGATTTTTTTTTTTTTCATCAAAAATAAACTGGCCAAAAAACCTTAAACAAAGCGTTTTAAAATGTTATTTGATTATATAAATGTTTGATTTCTTTCAGAAAATGATATTTTCTTCATTCTTTTTCGTTAATTTAGGCATTATTCAGTTATTCGGAATTTTGAAGTATCTGACATATTATTCAATCACCGTCCCAGAGTGTCCGGATAATCGAGGAAGTAATGTAATTCTATAAATCTTAAAGAATTTTTTTACGAAAAATTTGTTTCAGTGAATTGATGAAATGGAAATCTTAATTTCTTTCTCTCTTTCTTTGGTCTTCTTTAATAAGGTAGACAAATTTTAGCAGCGGTTCAGAAATTGATTACACCTGGACAGACCGTAGATGGGAAATATATTTCTACTCATAGAATATTTGAATTAGCTTATTTTTTATTTTTATTTTTGAAAACCACTAAATGGTGACCATATAATATGGAACTGATGTTAAATTTCGAGTGACAAACGTGCCGTCGCCTCCCTCTGTCTTTTTTATAAATACTTTCATGGTAACTGCTCCAATGAGCTGCTTTCGCTGGTTCCCAGACTTCATGAATTTAAACGTTCAACTAAGCTGGCATATTGCTCTCACCCTTTCACTGTTGAAACTGTTAAATGTAGCCATTTCTTCTACCCCAATAGCTTCATGTCTTGCACTTCCCATTTGTGGAACTCCCTCCCCATTTCTTGTTTCCCTGATAGCTATAATCTCCAACTATTCAAATGTAATGTCAATCGACCTCTCCAGATGCCTTGATCTATCCCCTATCCTTCTCCTTTCATCCTTTCCTCTATCACTCTTGTTTGCTCTCGCTCCAACTCTCTGTAACCCCTTGCGTGCTAGTGGCTTCCCGCCTGGCTTGGGGTGAAACGCTTAAAAAAAATAATAAACAAACAAACAAACAAAAAACAAACCCTTTGAATAATAATAATAATAATAATAATAATAACTAGTTTTAACCCGTGAAAATTTCACGGTTTACCTATTTTATTATTCTAATGAATTTTAATTCTTAAATTAATGATTGAGTAAACTCATGGTGTGTTCTACAATAAAATATCGTGTCTTAAGCACAAAAATTGATAGTAATAGCAGCTCTAAATAAATCTTGTATCATCAGCAGCTCTCGACTATAAAAACATGTGAACCCTAAAGTAACTCTTTCTTCTGTGTTTTCCTCTTTCAAACTGGTGACATGAACTTTCCACTCTGAAGCTAAAAGAGCTGTGAACGCTTCACACTAAAATATACCAACAACGTAAATCCCACTGTAACATATTCATAAACATTTCGTTGTGTATGCAATTTGCTTCTAGCAAAAGAAATCCTTGTTTTCAACTTTTCTTCTTTAATAAATGTTCTCTGGCATCAAATCAAATGGCCCGTTATTTTGTGCATCTACTCTTTTTCACCACCATTATTTCATGTACTATAAAATGTTCCCGTAAGAAACATTATACATTTAATTATTGAAGTAGCCAATCACTAAAATTTTATCAACTTTAACAAAATATTTCAATTAAAATCATAAATATGAATGCTGATGGTTATTTTAAGAAGTGGGTACAAATGAAAAGATATGAAATTGGAAACTTTTTCCATTTCACTGAAACAGCCGTTAAACACTTCTATCTCCACTTCAAATAGGGCGTTACTTTTCATTCACACTGTAGGACAATCTTCCCCCTCCCCTTTTAATCCTTCTTGTGACTCAATAAGATCAAAGTGTAGTATCTGTTCTTATCAACTTCTTTAATCTTATTCTATCTCTCCAGTGCTTTCTTTCTTTCTTTCTTTCTTTCTTCTTTCTTTCTTTCTTTCTTTCTTTCTTTCTTTGCTTCCTTCCTTCCTCACTGAGTAGTATCTTTCTCCATCTTTCCACGCAGTCAAAACCGAATAGTCCATTATTTATGAGATATTGACAGATGTTAAACACTTCTTTCTTTCTTTCTTTCTTTCTTTCTTTCTTTCTTTCTTTCTTTCTTTCTTTCTTTCGTTTTCCGCCCATCCCATTTTTATTTGAATCTTTTGTGTGTGTGTGTGTGTGTGGGGGGGTCTTATTATTTTTAAGAATAAATTAAAAATATCTATTTTTATTTTTGATAGGTAGATCGATAGGAACAGATAGATAGATAGATAGATAGATAGATAGATAGATAGATAGATAGATAGATAGATAGATAGATAGATATCCAGGTAAGATGTGAACGAATAGAATACAATTCCAAAGTTCGTAACATTTAATTTAAAAGAGGGCTCAATAAAAGGTAGAGCAATATTATTTATTTTAGGATATTATACCCAAAACATTACATCCGCTCCTGTTTATGCCTGGCTACCGTTAGCTACCAAATTACGGGTCATGACCCAGTTATAAAAAATGATTTTCTAATTTTTGCTTCTTCTCTTAGTTTAAATTTAACGTTGCACATATTTGATTGGCTGATCAGTGTAAAGCCCACAAAACTTATAAACCAACGTATTTTTTTTCTTTTTTCTTTTACGAAAAAAGTTTGCATTTTGCTTTTAAATCTAAATAAATCATTCACTCCCCAGTAATTTACAATCGCCCGATGAGATGCATTGTTACGCATCAAAACATGACTGCAATTGTGTAGCGATTTTGACATGTTTTCGGTGTAATATCCTAAAATAGATAGATAGATAGATAGATAGATAGATAGATAGATAGATAGATAGATAGATAGAAACAGATAGATAAATAGATAGATAGATAGATAGATAGATAGATAGATAGATAGATAGATACTGAAACAGATAGATAGATAGATAGATAGATAGATAGATTGATAGATAGATAGATAGATAGATAGATAGATAGATAGATAGATAGATAGATAGATATTGGGATTTAGATTTTAGATAGATAGATATAGGTACCTTCATGAGATCGCTGAAAACAGAGATGAAAAAGACGCCAAACTTGACGAAAACAAAATTTTAGCGTGTAAATGTGTATGGTATTATTAAGAGAAAAGATCAAAGTATTTTTTAATTATTTTTTTTAAAATTTTTCCTTCTTTTTAGAACATTCTAAATTTTGATTAAAAAAAAACAACTTGTTTCTCTTTGTATCACCGGAACTAGTAAAATAACTTAAAAATTTTAGCACGTTTTTTTTCTGTATGACAGACATTAATTTTGAAAATTTTGCAAAAATAAAAATAGTTGTCGGATTTTAATGAAACTTTCAGAAACTATTCACAAATGATGGAACTTGTTATAAATATGTTTTCTTTTTTAAAGTCATGGCAAAAATAATTTTTTTTCATACGTATTAGCCCCCCACACCCTGACTAATTGTACGAAAACTCTATAATTTCAATTTTGGGAAGATTAGTGATTATATTAGTTAAAAGCACAAGACTTTGAGGAAACCAAATCATACTTTTTTTTTTTTCAGTTGGACCACCTCTACATCTCTTAATTGTAACATACAAAACTCAATAAAACAAAAATATTATTTAATTTCAAAAGCTTTTAATTGCTTTTATTTATTTTAATGAACATGGACAATATTGTCTGAAAGCAAAAATATATTTCGGTGAAAAATGAATTTTTAAAAAAATTATTTTTTATTTCTGAAATATTTTATTATTTTTACATTATGTTGTTAATTCTTCTAAAATTAGGGAAAAGTTTGTAAAATTTAACGAATGATGTTATTAAGTAGATATATATTTACAGATTATAATTTCCAAAGCTTCTTACAAACTAACGAACAACGGTATATATATAAAAAAAAATAATTTCTGTCAAAAAGAATACTATAAATCAAATCAACGGTAGACCGGAAGTATCATGCGTGCAATAAAAAAATGGCACGTGGATTGAGTTTCTGTCTAGTATTTAACTTAAATATTGAATTTTTAATACAATTATTTGTTTTATTTCTTTAATTATAATAGATTTTTACATTTAAGTTGTTAAAGTATTATAAAATTAGTTAAAAGCTGCATTCAGTTTCGTAAATGTCCTTTTGAGATATAGATTTATTTTTGACTTTTTGTGAAGCACGTGTGGAGAAGTTAATTTGATTTTTCAATTTCAACTGAGAAGGGCACATACAAATAACAGTATCATCTTATATTTTATGTACACTCCTGATAAAATTTAATAAGAAAAGTACCTATAAATTAATTAGATACTTTTCTTATGAAATTTAATTTCACTCTCAACAGTCTTATTTTAATTGCTTTATAATATATTTTCCATAAAGCATCGTAAACGTAAAGGTGAAAGCTAAGTACAAAAAAAAAATTAAAAAAAAATAGAGCGCTGAAAGTTTTCCTTTAAAATAACGAGGTAAATAATTTGTTCACTTAAATCTAAATAACTTCACTTTTCTCCTTCCGTGGAAGAAATTATCCCCACGTAAACGATCAAAACGTCATGAAAATGTCTTTCGTCACCTGTCAAGTGACGCCAAATGTTAGGACCTGCTTTGTTTTATCTTCAAACTACGTCTTTTCGGCGCAGAACTAAGTTAAGCTTGTTTCAAAATATTTTAAATAAACATTACAATTTCTGATTTTCTTAAAATAAGTTTTGAAAAAATTATAATTATTTTTAAAAGAATTTCAAACTGAGATCTTCATTTTTTTTATAAATTGGAAAAAATGGCTGACATGATCAATTATCTGTCAATTTTGCTGACTTAAAAAACAAGATTTTTAATAAAAATTTTGGACGTGCTAGGAACGATTAAAAATGTTAAAAAATACCCCCAAATACTTTCATCTTTCCTCTTAATAATAACATAAACATTTAGATGATAAAGTTTTGTTTTCGTCAAGTTTGGCGTCTTTTTCGTAATGCTATACACTTTTTAGCGACCTCATGAAGGTACCTAGATAGATAGCTAGTTAGGTAGCTAGCTCGATAGATGGTTGGATGTTCCCGCTTAAAAATTGCGTTTAAGTATGAAACAGACTTTCGCCGTTGGGCGTTGACCTAGATGCCCACTTTTATATTTACATACACTCTATCCCTGATAATAAGCACTTTAACCAGTAAATATAGCATACCTTGAAACTACATTTTATCTTTTATCATATATATATATATATACATACATACATACATACATACATACATACATATATACATATATATATATATATATATATATATATATATATATATATATATATTATAAATTAATTGATTTAAAAATATTTTTTTCAAAAAAAATATATTTCAAATCAATTAATTTATAATATTAACGCTCTGTAAATTCATCGAGCACTATTTTGTAAAAATAAAAATATCTATAAGAACACCGGATTATATATCTTACTGTTCTTTCTTTTTATTTATACATATATATATATATATATATATTTGTGAATTAGGTAGAATATATATATATATATATATATATATATATATATATATATATATATATATATATATATATATATATTTGTGTATTTAGGTAGAAATCTTTCTTTTATGGACATTAAATTGAATACGACAGAGAAGGTATTTTGAGTTAGTTTTTTATACAATTTTCATGTGATCTAATAATTTTTTCTTTCCGGGTGATAAATTATAATATAAAAACTGTCCAATTGTTCTTTTTTATCCGAGCGCTTTCGGCTATACATTTAGCCATTTTCAAGGTTGAAATTAAATATTAACTATTAACAAGAAATAGATTGTTGTATGTATGTATTTATATAACGTTTTCATTTTCAAAACACGGCAAAGATATTGTGACCATGTTCATAAATGATATTAAAGATAATCCCTATTTTATGTATGAGGGACTCTATCGTCTAACTATAATTTTAACAAGACAATACATTCCATCATACATAAAATATGGAATTATTTTCAATCACCCTGTATTACTGGAGAAAACCAGTCTTCTTCATTCGCCATAAATAAATATCACCTCACTTAGCAGATTAGGCACTTTATTATTACTCTGTCTCCGTATGACGACAAATTTGACACTTTTTAACCTCTACTTGCTAGGTAGGTTATGCGTATTTTTTTTTAGTCTTTCTTGCCTTCAATCTGTCCTGTGAGTATCAGATTTTCCAAGAACGCTTTCCTCATTATGTGCTCTAGAAATTTTCAACTGTATCTTCCTGTTGTCAAGTATAAGTGTCAATTTTGTTTCCATTTTCTCTAAAACTTGCTAGGTAGGTTATGCGTTGTTTTCCTCTATCCCTCTTTGCCTTCAATCTGTCCTGTGAGTATCAAATTTCCCAAGCTCTCTTTCCACATTATGTTCCCTGGAAATTTCAACGGTCTCTTACTGAATTTGAGTATAAGTGTCCTTTTTGTTTCCATTTTCTCTAAAACTTGATAGGCAAATTATGCGTTATACAACCAAAATTATGTTTACTGCAAAAGTTACCAAAGCACAATATTTTTTGTGTAGACTTTGGAAGGTCTGAGTAATCCTTGACAGTCCTTAGATTTAATCTGTAATTTCAGAGTCTGCTTATTTATCCCCCTACTAAGAGCAATGTATCATCAATTTATAAAAAATTGCCCCCCCGACTATTTTTCTAATTATAATTTTTAAAGTCTAAAAATGAATAAAGCGTCCTTGAAGATATACGTGGCATAATATATATATATATATATATATATATATATATATATACGAACCCTCTTCGATAGTGATATCAGTACGCGTCAACGGGACCAAGTTAGCACGGTACTGGATGGGTCATAGTTATTTTGCACACTGCACCTCAATTGTTACACACAAAAAAAGTATATATATATATATATATATGTATATATATATATATATGTGTGTGTGTGTAGAGCGTATTGTATATAGAGATTATTATTATGTATCAAAATTATTTTCTTTTTTTAACAAATCTTTTCGCCAAATACTTTTTAATCTTCTCATGTAAATCAGTCAGCCAGTTATGTGCCATGCGTGATACATGCTTAGGCAATCATGTATCGTTCGATACATGACTGACGAGGCAGATTTTTTTCCCGCAGTAGGTTACCATTTCTTTCTGCAGTAGACCAGTTGCCATCCAAGTCTGTAAAACCCGGCCTGTCCCGTTATTTACCCATAGCTCTGGTGGGAGAGAAAGGAGGATTCGTACCTTTCCCAAGGGTATTATCACGTAAAATGAATTTTCTTAAGATTATTTCTGTGATTCTTTTCAATTGTTCCTAGTGCTCTTATTATTATTGGAATAGTGGTTGTTGTTTAAATGACACATTCGTGCAGTTTCTATTCCCAGGTCATTATATTTTGAAAGTTTGTCTCTTCTTCATATGTAAGGACATTATCCGGCATTCACTGCTATAAAAGGACATATATTATGTAACAGTCCAGTAACCAACGGAATACAGAACAGTGTCAAACTCTTTTCTGATGAGTGGTCACATCTATGTAAGCACGAAATTTCGAAGTAAATATGAGTTAAACGAAGAAAAAAAAGTTTTCATAGTAATTTTGTATCTATCTATCTATCTATCTATCTATCTATCTATCTATCTATCTTTCTATCTATCTATCTATCTTGACGTTTAGCCACACTGATGAGCTGTCATACAGTGAAACAGTCTGTGAATGACACTATCTATCTATCTATCTATCTATCTATCTATCTATCTGAGGCGCTTTACATCGGGTCCCGCAAGCCTTCTTTGTGCAAACAACGTGAGTGTTTGCTGGGACTCGCTGTCATCTGCCTCTAGTTCCTTCTTGCATATATATATATATATATATATATATATATATATATATATATATATATATATATATATTTTCCACCTATTCTTATTGTACATTTCTCTGTTTTAATTTTGAATCTCCCGTGGAAGCCTGATGAGCGGGAGCGAAACCGGTTGCTTCCCCCCCTTGTTGTTGAGTTTTTTTAATTATTTAATATTGT